AGGCCGCACCGACGCTGAATCCAGCAGGACAACCACCTCTCTTGCCTGGCTGGTTGTGCTGGGTGTGCTGGGCCCCAGGAGGCGGGTTGCCGCCGAGGCAGCCAATAAGATCATGTGACTGCAAACACAGCTCACGTCACCCACTGTACGTCTGAGATACCCTGCTCCCGCAGCTACCACGAAGCAGGTAGAGCCCAGTGGTTAACGGGGTAGCCTGCAGTAGCTCACCCTCATCAGACCAGTCAAAGGAATGTTTCAGCACATATTTCAATGTGATGTACGCACTCTTCTGCTCTGTTCTTACACACTTTTTACTAGTTGAAATGTATATTTATGCTCTGAGGGAAGACAAGCAAGTAAGGGTTTAAATTGAAAGCAGGGAGGTTTAGATTGGATATCAGGAAGAAATTCTTCCTGGAGAGGGTGGTGAGGCACTGTGACAGGTTGCCCAGAGAAGCTGTGGATGCCCCATCCCTGGAAGTGTCCAAGGCCAGGCTGGATGAGGCTTTGAGCAACCTGACCTAGTGGAAGGTGTCCCTGCCCATGGCAGGGGGGTTGGAACTAGATGATCTTTAAGGTCCCTTCCAACCCAAACCGTTCTGTGATTCTAAGTGTGGTTTCTGGAGATTGGTGACACATTGTGTAGTTCCCTGAATGTTTCCAGCTCCAGAACTAGGCAGCTTTAGGCTTTAACATTTGTAGCTTGTTTTTAAACTATGAAGGACAAGTGTTTAGGTTTTCATGCTTATGCCATGCTACCATGTTTCTTCTGTGACCTGATTTTAATGTATCAGTTTTAAGGATGTAGACCCATTTTTTTTAATTGATGCTGTTACATGTAGAAATCACTTTGTATTGTACTGATACGTGAGAATGAAAGTGCTGCATTTAAGGAAGTAAGTGTAAACTATAAAATAATTGCAAAAACTCTGCTCTCCGTCTCTTTTTGTTCTCTTACAGGCAGAAATTTTTCAGGAATTTGCTGTTCAGGAGGAATCAGTGACATTCCGGATCAATTTGTCTGTTCTTCTTGACTGCTTGACCATTTTTGGTACCAGTTCTTTGCCAGGTATGGGTGTGTTTACATGTCAGCATATGAGTATCACGTGTAACCACACAGTGTAACCTGGACATAGCTGTAGGGAGATTTCCAGTCTTGGCAAAACTTCTGATTTCCTCACCTTAAGTCGTTCTGAGCATGGCAGCTGTCGCTGATAAGCAGGATCCATCCTGTTTGCTTAAGCTAATACAGGTGTGTGTTCTGGTAACGCACACTTGCTTCTCTCTGTCGATGGAGAGAAGCAAGGAACTGGCGGGCGTGAGCCCAGGCAGCGTGTCAGGGACCGCCGCAGCAGGAGAGGCTAAAAGAGGCCGCTTCAGTGTGGAAGATGGATTAAAGGTTTATGCCTGTGTGACGCTACTGGGGTAACTGAGAAACAGAGGAGTCTTCCTGTGAAGATAATGTTTCCTGGATCTGTGTAAGGCACAAAAGAATCATTTGTTTTGGGAGAGAACCCTTTGTGGCATGAAGTCCAGTGAACAGCCCCAGCTTGTACTCCTGCACTGCCCTGGGGCTGACGATATTAAATAGCTTCTGTAATCTGATAAGAAAATATGCCAAGTAGTTCGGTCAGGCATCTCTGGCAAGTTGTGGGATTAGGCTGGAGTTCTGACGGAGGCCAGTGCTGCACCCTAGGACTGACACATGCCATTACTGCCGTTCCTGTTAATCTGTTTTCAGTCAGAGCCCAGATCATGCGTATCACACAAACACTGGTTTGTTCCCAAGTGCCCTTCACTGGAGGGGAAGCCTGGGTGCAGCTGGTGGAACAGTTGCTGTGCAGCCCGCTCCAGGATGCAAGGATGTGTGGATGCAGAGAGCTCCAGGGTGCCCTCTACTAGGGATGGTGCATGACTCTGTCACAGGGGTTTGAGAGTCCAGTGGGGCAGCTAGAAGGCTACTCCTTGGGCAAGCTGGGGCAGCCTCGTCTCAGAGCTTTGAGCTGAAAAAGCGTGAAAGCTGTCAGTACGTCTTAAGGCCACAGGGGATCCACGTTGGGCTGGCTAACTGCTGTGAACTGCAGCGGAAATCAGCACACTGAGAGACAGTATAGACATAGCTTGGAATTTCTCCCACTAACAAAAAGTTTTATATCAAGCCAGTAGTAAATGTGATCCCTTTTCCAGTATTTCTGTGGCTTCTGCAAGCCTGGAACATCCAGCAACCTCAGACACATTAACAAGCACGTGCATGAGTTAGGAAAATTCTGGTGCAGATCTACTGTGTTTGAAGATGTCTCAGGGGTTGCAGGTAGCTGTGCTCCTGCTCCCACTGCAATGGCTGGTATGTGGCACCTTCCGTTGAGGCTACAACTGCATGTGTTTTTTGAGTATCATCTCCAGCATGCAGATAAGGTATGGAGGAGTGGTATTTACCTAAGGTCTCACAAGAAATCTGCGGCAGGATTGGGTAGCTCTTCAGGTGCTGTTAGAGCATCTTGCTTATGGAGTGTGTGAATTAGAAGAATCAAGTAGACTCTGTTATTGGTCCTGTTTGTAGTCTTTTCAGTGACAGAGGTGCTTGGGAAGCTGCCTTCACAATGGAGTATACAAATACTGAATTACATGAACCCGTTTGTTTAAACAAAAACCCACAGTTCTTAACAAATTTTATTTCCTATAAATGAATTTATTTTTTAACTTGACAGTTATTCAAAAAATATTTTCACAAGCAAAAATAACCACAAGTTAGCATGACTTTATAGGTGCTACAGGATGCACTGTGTGCTCATGTGAAGAGTGATACCGTGACAGTTTTTTGGGCAGTTCTACCATTGCTGCTGTGCTTTGAACTCCATATTCCTCTGCTTTATCTGTTGTGACTCTGAGGTAAAGTGCTAAAATCTACTGTACTAGCCAGCACCCTGATTTTGAGAAACCCAGCATTCAGAATATGATTGCCTGGCAGGAAGAGGATGTGGCCATAATGCAAGGCAAGCTGCGTTACCGTCAGTTTGGGTTGCAGAGGTAAGAAGGTACTGAGGAAGGGCGATGTGAGCTGGAGACAGCCTCAGGACCATGGAATATTTTGCAGTTCCACAAACCTGTCGCTGTCATGGTTTAACCCCAGCCGACAGCCAAGCCCCACACAGCTGCTTCCTCGCTCCCCTTGGTGGGATAGGGGAGAGAATTGGAAGGGTAAAAGTGGGAAAACTTGTGGGTTGAGGTAAGGGCAGTTTAGTAGGTAAAGCGGAAGCTGTGCATGCGAGCGAAGCAAAACAAGGAATTTATTTACCACTTCCCATCGGCAGGCAGGTGTTCAGCCACCCCCAGGAAAGCAGGGACCCATCATGCCTGGCGGTTACTTGGGAAAGCAAATGCCAACACTCCAGATGTTCCCCCCTTCTTCCCCCAGCTTTATATGTTGACCATGATATCGTATGGTATTTGCATGATGCCATACGGTGTGGGACATCCCTTTGGTCAGTTGGGGTCAGCTGTCCTGGCTGTGTCCACTCCCAGCCTCTTGTGCACCCCAGCCCACTCGCTGGTGGGGGTGGGTGAGGAGCAGGAACAGCCTTGACTCTGTGTAAGCACTGCTCAGCAACAACTAAAACATCCCTGTGTTACCAGCACTGTTTCCAGCACAAACCCGCAGCACAGCCACATGCCAGCTACCTTGAAGACCATGACCTCTGTCACAGCCAAAGCCAGCACAGTTGCATATACAGCTTCATTGTCACAGCTAGCGTTACCTCTTTGGTCCAGGACACAGGTTGGATTTGAAGTGGTGCCTGCATACAAATGATTTCATTTCGCTGCATGCCCATTAGCACTTGGTAGGGTGTCTAGGAGGCTGCACTAAGCATGCTACATCAGTGTATTGGAGGCTGGACCAAACACACTGAATCAAATCAATCTGTGCTCCATATGCCAGTGAAATGTGAATTTTCTAAAGTGATCAGATGTGCTAGCTAGCCCTCTCAGGAATGTGTATTTCATTCTCTTTTCAGGAACATCGACGGCCCTTCGGATGTGTTACCGTGGTTATGGTTATCCCTTGATGCTGTTCTTGGAAGAAGGAGGAGTCGTGACAGTGTGCAAAATTAACACTCAAGAACCTGATGAGTTGTTAGACTTTGATTTCTGCAATACAAAGGTTGTTAATAAAGTTATCCTGCAGTCAGAGGGGTTACGAGAAGCCTTTGCCGAACTGGATATGACCAGTGAAGTCCTGCAGATTACCATGTCTCCAGATAAACCCTACTTCAGGTACGGGAAGCTGTGCTTTCAACGCAAACGTTCGTGCTTGGCACCCGTTGGTAAGGACTGGAAGCTTTCGGCACGAGGCTATTTTAGAATATTGCTTTATATTATGTGTAGAAAATCACAATATGTAATATAATTAACATAGTAACGAATATATTGACAACCTGGTAAAAGTGACACTTCAGCATTTTTAATTAAATAAAGCAAAACAAACACGTGTGTTGTGGAACAGCCATTGAGATACTCAAGATGACGGATTCTGAGGAGTTTGTAAAGAGCTCTGATTAGATGTGTTGAGATGGTGCCTTTTGTCTTCCAGGTTATCCACATTTGGAAATGCAGGAAGTGCACATCTGGACTACCCGAAGGACTCTGATCTGATGGAAGCATTCCACTGTAACCAGACCCAGACAAACAGGTGGGACGTCTGCCATCAGTGCCCTCCATGGTCATGCGTTCCAGCTGAAAAGTTTAGAAAACGGGATTTGTGTTACTGTAACATCTGTTTCATTAGTAGGAGGGAGAAAAAACATACTTCCCGTCTCATAAAAGTCTGTGATCAAAAACTAAGAGATAACATCGTCTGCCTGATGTTACCAGGAAAAGACAATTTAGCACATTGCTAATTGTTTTTTATTTATTCTTTGGCTTTATCTGGGAGTAATATTTCAGCTCCTCTCCACACAACGTGTTTTTTTCAGATGACTTTATTTCCCCTCCTGCAGGTACAAGATTTCTTTGCTTAAACCATCTACAAAGGCACTGGCTTTATCTTGTAAAGTGTCCATTCGAACAGATGCTCAAGGATTTCTTTCGCTGCAGTATATGATTAGGAATGAAGATGGACAGATCTGTTTTGTGGAATACTACTGTTGCCCTGATGAGGATATTGCTGAAGCAGAACCGTAGGTGTATGTTCTGTCTCCTGTATTATATTTGTGGATATATATAAAATACTGTATTTTTTTATAAAGCTGTAAAGATTGATGGAGCTGATGTTGTAATTTTTTTTTTAAGTTGTATTTAGAAATACAAAGACTCCCCTTTTATTCTCTTGCAAACATTTCTCAGCCGTGGCCCAAAAAACTGAAGCTGAAAAAGCAACGAGGGGAGTTGATCTCCTATAGCCACTGTTTCCAGCACAGATGTTGATGGGATGTTCGTGTAATACGTTGCTGGTTTTTACAGTGTTCTCCAAGAATTTTTGTTTGTGTTTTTTTTTGTCTTTGGCTTATGCTAAGCGATGACGCAAGGGAAAACCTGAATACTAGCTGTATGTTGGCTAGTTAACTTTGAGTGACTTAAAAATAAAACCAAATTTGTCTTGAAAGAGGACGGCATTTTCGGAATTATTTCTTAGTAGCAGAAGGTGGTTTCTTTCTGGCACATTTGCTGGTGAAGCCCCGAGGCTCCTCCTCATCTTGAGTAATTCTTAATATAACTCAGTTCCTTGGAATTTAATCTGATGCCAATTTACCCGTTTGTCTGCAGTACTGGTGTTGAATTGGTAAACTAGGATAGAAGCCAGGATTTAGTTACTTACAACTGTTCTGGCGACGTTGTTTCGTATCTGGTATTTACTGCACACCCACAGGAATGCTGCTGCCGAAATGTTTCTGTACGTATGCGTCCCCGTTCCTGCCCTGCTACCCTCTACTGTCGTTGACAGTCCTAAGAACAGAGACGTTTGAGGTTTGAAATTATTTGTGAAATTCATTTACCTCCTCCTTAGCCTTTTTCAGCAGCAGGAGGGATGCCCAGACAGGAGTGCAGGATCGTCTGCCTGTGTCCCTGGAGTGGTGTGTCCATACCACTGCTAAAAGTGGGCCTACTTCTTTTTGAAAAGGGAGTGCAGTTTTCTGCAGTGGCCAGAACGGTGAAGCGGGCTGCACTTGGGTCAAAAGTTGCACTTCTTACTTCACACCTCTTCACAAACAACCTGCTCCAAACAGGAGCTCCGCTGAGCCAGCTGGGTGTTGGACGAGGTGCGGAGGCTGCGGATGGCAGCGCAGGAGGCTGAAGCCTTCCTGCCGCGGGGTGCGAGCTGCGGGTCGTGTCTGCAGCCTTAGGCCATGGTTGGGTCTGGCGGGTCGGAAGGTGAGGTCCTGCCTTCCACGTGTGGAAAACGGCACGTTCACACGTTACCACGTCGGTTGCTCCACGGTTCGATGGAATCCAGGGCCTTTGGGTTTAAGTTTAAAATGCTTTTGTTGACTGTTTTTCACCCCTTGCTTATGCCAGCACGAGCGTCCTTTGAGTGCACGGTGCCAACAGTTCACTTTTGTTGTCTACCATGCGGATCGTCCATTTATTGCACTAAATTTTACATTTGGAAAACAATGACAAATCTCTGGACTGCAGGACTGATAAAGACACCTAATAATATACTAAATTACTGTTATCTACCCTTTTTTTTTTAACTTAAGTATTCAGTATAGGTGAATTTCCTTTTGGCTTACTGTTTCAATTTCTTCAGTGAATTATTAATACTGTCCCTGGCTAGTGGGTGTTAAGAATGATTTACACAATCCCAGGGTGACAGGATAAAAATGAAACAGGCCCATCGCTTCCTTACTGTGATTTATTTCAGAGTTCCTCGCACTGTGTCCATGGACACTGCTGTGACCTCACATCTGTACTTCGATGTAATTGCCTACAGATGTACTATGTTACTTCTTAAAATAGTACTTTTAACAATTTCTCCTAAAATCCACCAGCAGCGGTCATGGAAATAGTCTCCTAAGAAGTCAGAACACCACAGAATACCCTAAAGTCACTGCTGGATTTCGTAAACAACAGCTGTTGCAGACACGGGTGGTTTGTGCCAGGGTGAAAGCCTGTGCCCCAGCCGGACGGAGTCCGGGCCTCGACTTGGCGGGGGGGAGGTGCTGGGCATCGTTCTTGGTGGGCAAAACCACGGCGAGGCTACAGGCGCCTTGCAGTAAGGGAAGGAGGGGATCAGGATCCACCTGCGATGGATTCCGTTACATCCCTGCCTTCAGACGCAGTGGACTAAAAAGGGTGAGGAGGAGGATGACTGGGAAGCCACCGCCCATCTTCACCTGGTACACGGCTTAAATTCTGCAAACCTCCACTGCTGGATTAGACTTGATTCCCTGGCACACGAGGTCCAGACCCCGGGTGATGGTACTTTTAATACGTTTCATCTCTCCGGCGTGTCAGGTCTTTCCCCTCGCAGGCGACGGGAAGCCTGCAGTAACATTCAGTTGCTGGCTTTTTCCTGCAACTGCGTGACGGAACAGGCTGGTCACAACCCGGATTTTGCCCGCGTGCTTGCTTCTGAGCTGGTACACGCACGTACTTGGAACTGCCGGTGGTGTGAACCAGAACAGCTGCTGGGGTGGGAGCTGACACCGGCAGTTTCCACCCAGGTTCCGTACAGCCGTGGTAGGCGCTGCCTGGCGTCTCGATTTACTGCATCTGGGGCTCTGGGCCACCCAGAGCCAGAGGCCAGGACGCTGACAAGTGACTTTTCCTCCCATTATTTTGATCTGTGGTTTTCCCAGTAAGAACTGACCTCACGCCTTCAAGAAGGCCTCTCTTTTATCCTACCTGAAAGACATTACCAACATCCCTTGGGTCCTGCTGGTCTGCTGCAGTACTGGAAGCCGGAATAACGACTTTGGCTGCTGGTCCTGACAATCTTTACGCAACACGACACCAACAGTGCCAGCGCACACGTGACCTCTGGGAAGCGCCTGAGTCTCTGGCTTTCACATGCTGAGGCCCATCCGTGACCATGTGGATCTGTTGTGACTCTGGAGCAAAAATGCCCCAAAAGAAACTGAATTCTACACCTCGGTTTCAAAGTGAGTCGTGGGAAGAAAAATCGGTTGTTTAATACCTAATGGCACACGCATTTATAAGGAAACGTACTCCTGTACCCTTGGCTAGAGGGGCTTCGGTGGGGGCTGC